TAGTTATATGGTGCCTTTTTTGAGTTGCCTCTTTACTTTGATTTTGTCGGTAATTTTATTAGGAGTGTATTTCTGTACATGTTGTCTATTTGTAATAGTGAAGCTTTCGTCCAATGCATTAGTTAAAATTGTGTTGAGTTTTTTAATACTTCTAGAAATTTGAATGCGTGCTCCGCGCACGATTATCGTAATCTACATATACGATAAAAGTTTTAATTTATAAATTGATATAAATAAATAAAGAAATATATATATTTTTTCCTTGTATATTCCTAAGTAAAATAGTAAATTTTAATATTGTTTTAGTTATTCGGAAATAATTGTTTGTAAGCATATAATCATACGGGATCTCTTGAACATTTCAATCATAGCGTCAACCTCCATTTTGCCAGCCGAGCCTTCATGGTTCGCTGTACACTCATCGGCGTGATTCTCAAACTATTCAGCATACTCTTGCTAATCTTTTTTATACGGACACACAGCACAAGCTTGACGCAGCGAGCTTTTTACCTCTAAATCGATAATCTTTCCCGATTCATATCCGATTAAAGTTGTTACTCCAATTTTCGACGAGAAGTCGCGTTTCTTCTAGGAACCGTCACCGGACTTTTATTTGAAGTAATGGTCTTGAATGTTTTTTATTAATTGTCTTCTTTTCTGTAACAGCGTTCGCACAACTATTTTGAAAAATAATCTTTCAAGCGTCATGGATGTGTTCGAATATCCCATCGTATGCTTTCTTACTAAGCCCATCACATAGATCCATGATATTGCAGAATAAGTTTATTCCTTTCATGCCGATGCCTAAAAGTCTCATTGCGAATACAATTTTGCGATTCACTTCAAATCCATTGTTAATAAACGGGCCCGAGTTCGAAATTTACGTCACACTTGCATGACACAACGAGTTTCCATCCCAAGCCGCGCTGTCCAGACTCTTCAAATTTCACTGTACCACGACACGATTTACAACACAATAGCTCAGAGAGCATGGAAAAAAACTATGACAAACTCAATTATTCGGTAACGGTGCGAATAATTTACTGGAATATCATCAGAAGAAGCTGCTGCTAATTTTCGAGCACTAGCGCTGGGACCTATCGGCTCGCCTTTCTGCGTTGAAAACTGATTTCCATAAAACTTCCTCTTTCGTTGTGATGCACGATAAGGGCTAGTAGAATTGCCTTTTGAATAGACATTTTGCTCTGGAATACTTGTGTACTGCTCGATAGTTACAGTGAAAGTGACTCAATTGTAGTCTTCAAAAAGAGTCTTGGCATTCGACTATAGCAGCACTGACATTTGGAAAATATATCTGTGTATACGAAGCAGTATAGTCAAAATTCGAGAAACATCTGTCCCTGACCCTAAACGTAAGTCCCTTTTCAATTTCAACTAATCCCATCACCTAGGGGCGTCTTTGTATTAGAGCGCGCATCCGTTTACCTGCTCCGCATGGCACCGTATTCAGAGCAGGTGAGCGAAAATAGCCATAGCTGCCAAACCACTTCGAATACCGTTCTGAAATTTTCACAGTATATTTTTGAAACTATATAGAATCGATTCATGCAAAAAAATCGATCTATTCGAAGATACCCCTTTAAAAGTAAATAGCACCGTGTTTTTAGCGCTATTTTTTTACAAATGATTCTACGCGATTTATTAATTAAAAATTACTTAAAATCTAATCTAGTGCTAGAATATTAAATCTAATACTAAATAAATTTTTGCGAATAAATCAAAATTTTTCAATATTCTATTCTAAATCTCATGTTAAAAAATCATATTTTTAAAATGTATATACTAGTTCAAAAAAATTCTATTTCAAAATCTTGCGCTAAATTTTATACGTCACATGTATAAGCCAATGAAACGTCTAAATCTCTATCTCTAATTGACCAATCGCAACATTTACAGGCTTCACTTCTATAGACACTGATTTTTTTAAGTAAGGATTTTCGATGTTGATAGCTCTTTCAAGGGAAATGTTACATGGAATTCGTTCGTTAATGAGCTGTGTATATTTATTCCAGTCAATTTTTTTGCATGTGCTTGTATTTTGATGTATTCCTATTGATAAATTAATTAGAACTGGAGTGTGGTCAGATTTTTAGTCTAGGCAAGTTGATGCTTTAAAGTATTTTTTATCAATTCCTTTTACTTTTGCAAAGTCTATCAGATCTGAATAATTTGAAGAATGAGATTTTCACTTTACGAATATGTGTTATTTTACATAAATTATTTATTTATTAATATGATTTTTTAATTGCAAGCATTCGTTTACTTTTTATGAATAAGTAACAATAATTTTGATCAAACAAACATCACGGTAAGAAATTATGCGATTTAATATACATTTCCATAAGGAGTTGAGTTAAAGTTAATTAACAACTGTGACGGTAAACGTCTTATTAGCGCTAACGGCCCAACCATGCGGCTGCCCGCGAGGGCAGCACCTACCGGTTGGGGAAAATGTGACGAGGGAATTCGGCACGCGACGGGACGGAACGCGCGCGTATGAAAATGAGGTAGTCGAGGATCAGCTATCGATATCGCCTGAGAGGAGTCGAAGATTAGCACCCGGTTGCTAAGCTGTGCAAGGTGGGATAGTTGATAGTTCCCGAGCTTTCCCGAGTGCCGAGACGAGCTGATCCAAGTGGAGAATCAGCTACCGATACACAAGCCGCAAAATCGAGGCCCGCAGTCTGATTGCCCGAACGCAGCGTAGATATTAGTCGATTGTTGTTGCCGAGCTGTCCGGAGTGTCGACCTGAGCCAGCAGAAGCGGTGCCATCTCTTGCGGAGTCAAGTGTGTGTGTGAGGTGTTTCGCCATCGAGGGCGAAACCGTGTGCGCGCGAGTTCGCGATCCGCGACAAAGAACTAAAAGACTTTGCCTGAACACGCTATGTGCTACGTTTCTCTTGCTGCCGAACAATCGTCATTAAGGTAAGCTGGCCAGTTTAATTTCGCGACCGCGATAGAATTACTAAGCTACTAATCTCTTGACTCGACAAAAAGCGTGCATGTAATAGCTCTGCGGACAGAGAGCGTCGAGCGATCCGACACTGCATGTTGTTGTCGTGCGCACCACTGTAAACGTAAACACGCGGGCCTAATGCGCTGTATAGTTAGAGGAAATAAAAGATTCCATCTGTGATATTAACTTTATTTACGCCGTACTGACTACATTTTCGTAGATAGTTGGTTGACTGACACCCGTTCCCTCCTGCTCTCCGGTTTTCGTGTTTAACGTAGGTAATTACGCGCGCCCCTTCAGTACGGTCGCGCGAATAAATTAATTAAACAGTATCCACCCCGTTACACAACTTAAAAGTTATTAATAAATAAAAAATCAACAATTTAGTTAAAGAAAACTAATTTTACGTAATGAACAAGTGGTACTCAAATAGGTAAACAAAATGAAATTAAGTTGAAAGGTTGTGCCAAAACCAAGATATCTCAATACGTATGTTAATAAATCGAAAAGTGAAAAAACTCTATAATTTATAAGCAATAGAAATTTTCGACATTCTGTTTTAACAAATTCGTTCATTTAATTATAACCTACAAGTACATATAATTTTCTACCACAATTACAGTTTATTAACTATAAATCTTATTATTTATAACTTTAAACCGTTGTATAAAATATACCAACATTGTAAAAAAATAATCTATACTCATACGAAACTAAAGCACAATCAAAAATGTATTTTAATGGAAAAAGTAGGGTCCTAATGTAAATATTTAATGTTTTACAGCTCAATTTATAAAATCATAAAATCAATCAGAGCGTAAAAAGAGCGTTTGAGTGTAAGAAGTTCCAGCGGGAACGGGTATAAAAGAAGGAGCTCGACACACTGGAATCACTCTAGTTCTGGCTATAGTCCAGTATGGTCAAGCAAACGTTTTGTTTAATAAATCAGCCTAAACACCTGATCGTTGAGTTGAATGTTTTGCTCGCTATTGACCTCTTCTACCTTCCTATCTTACCTACCTGTGAGTCGTTCCTGTGGCTTTCCTTTCCCACAAATATTTGATTGCAGTGGAATATCCCTGTTCTAAAATTTCCTCATTTCCTCCATTATAAGAAGCGGAATAACCGTGATAGAGATCTGTACAGGGCCAGGAAGCATCTCGGTTTCCCGCCCCGAATGCTTTGATACTGTAGTGAGCTTCTATCCACGGAATTCTCACTTAAACTATCGTAATATTTAGTTTCTGTGAGATCAACGCTTTTCTGATGGATGAATTCTCCTTTTCTCATAATATTAAAAACCTACTTTAACTTAGCTACCCATTCAATCACACGCAAGGTTCAAATCAAAAGATAAATTATACTTTGTAATAAACTTTGAAATCATAACATTACAATTACAATTGTCTGATATTAGAATTGAATCAAATCACTTTTTGCATCGTATCAGAATGCGCAATGAAAAAAAGGCATAGTTGCTAAAAATCCAAGATCGCATAATTTTCACGTGATCATAAATAGAAGTAGATAGAGGAGATATATATGATATTTTATATCACCTCAAAATGGAAAAAGAGTCAGATATACAATATTAATTTATTGTTTATAAATGAAATATTGAATTGATTAATGTAGAATACATCTCATTAAAAATATCAATTTTCGCTGTAAAAATAATTTTGTTCTGGGCTATTATTCAATTGTTTTTATTAAAAAATAACCAATATTACCTTAAAATAACTTTGAAAATGACCTTCAAGGTAAAGTGTAAGGTCACCATTACATTTACTTATTTTATTTACATATAAAACTTAATCGATTGGTGTTGTCATAGCGTTTTTAAGTTATTTTAAGAATATCTACACAGTATGACTGATTTTAACAGAAAAATAACTTTATTGTATATCTTGCCGTCCATGAATTATGTTTTTAAGTTTTAATAGTTCGCAGAATATGGTTGATTTATTTATATGATTCAATACATATTTTCAATTATATAAGTATCTCTTATGTACGTTGCAGATTGGAAAAAGAAAATATTGGATTACGGAGGCAGAAGAATGAACTTATAGATGAAAATAATTCCTTAAATTCAAATATAGAACGGAAAGACATAGAACTTGAAAGACTACGTTTAGAATTAGCTTCATTAGGATCTCAATTACAGATTTCAATTGCAGCTAAATGCCAAGCTCTTGCCAAAATAGAAGAAGTACAAAGTCGTGAGTTGAATATAGAATTTAGGTAAGTAAAATATTAATTTATGCCAAAAAAGCAAATCATTTTCTGATGAACTTGTATTTAGTATAGCTAAATAATATGTATCGCTAATGGTCATGTAGCTATGATAGCAGGCTTATTATTTATGTTTCTTGTACGATTAACAATGTTGACGCTTCAACAATAAATTTATTATGGAGAATCACGTTCGTATGTGTACCGGTAGAGTAAGAGTAAACAAAAACTAGGATTTTTACTGTTTGGGCTAGCGTTTCACCTTGTTTCCTTTTACTATTCACAGATAATCGCAATTTTTCTTGTATTGTCTACATTTGTCTTTTTTTCCTCTTTTCAGCGTTAACTTGATGATCGAACGCTTAATGCCTACTAATATTGAACTTCGCGTGATGTGATGAGATATTAGTTACCTAGTTACCAATACGAGATGTATTCAAAAAGTAAGATGAATTTTTAAATTGGGCGGGCTACGTAGATTCGATTATCGATATTTTTTTATTATGTTGGTATACATGTCCCTCACATATGCTCACAGTTTCAGCCAGTTTATGATTACTTTTTTTTTGGAAGACAGAAACATTAAACGTATTGTTTCTGCTAATTTTCTGCTGTCGAAAACAATGTATCAAAGAGTTTGCATAAAATTTAGTGTAAAAAATGGAATTAAGTGCTCCAAAACACTTGAAATATTGACAGTGGCATACGCTGAGTCTACTTTAAGACAAAAAAATGTTTACACGTGGTATAAGCTCTTTCAAGATAACCGAGAAGATAACGACGACGAATCTCGCTCTGGACGCCCCAGTACTTCAATAACTGATGAAAGTGTTGAAGAAGTGAAACAAATGGTGTTAAAAAATCGTTGAATCACTATTAGAGAAGTCGCTGAAGACGTCGGCATCTCTGTTGGCTCGAGCAGTGCAATTTTTTCTGAAATTTTGGGCATGAAACGTGTAGCAGTAAAATTTGTTCCCAAATTGTTTAATTATAAAAATTTGTATTTGATAGGTGACAATTCGCGCAAAACGAATTTGTCCCGTGTGTAAGCCTTTCAACAGCCGAGCGGCCTTTGACTCGGGCGGCAGTCAGGCTCTCGAGCACCCCGGCCCGTTCGCACGTCAATAATGAAAATCTCTGTTAATCTGGCAATCGGACGTATATATATATATATATATATATATATATATATATATATATTCGCGCTTGATTATATAAATAACAATGTAATAGAATTATCCCTAATATAACGGCAAAGCATATGGATACACTCAAGCGCGTTTATAGTATTTATAATATTTATTTTATTAAGTTTAAGTACATGAATAAATTAAGCAAAAATAAAAAGAGATATATATAGACGCGTAATCTTCGCCTCGCGTTGTCTATTGTTTTAAAATAAATGGTACTCACTTAGTATCGATACAATCAATGGTATTCGGTCCTTGGTGTAATATTATTATTTTACGAATGTGGTGTTCCTTCCTTTTTAAACAAATTCAATGGTTCCTTTTATATATATATCCAATTGGTAGTGGCGATTTCTATATTTTTCTGGTCGTAGCAGCGCAAACAAATTATCTGTACGGTTGCGGCCTTTCTTTGTTTTTCTATTAAACACTTAAGCTCTGACAAACCAAACTTTAATAACTCAAATTCTAATTAATAAGATACCGGATGAATTCTGACAAACCAAATTTTAATAAATTCCAATTTTATTTAATAAGATGCAGAATAAATATCTGATGATTTTAAATTTTAGTAAACTCAGATACTCAAAAAAATCGCAGCCTTCTTATTCAGGCGCTCAGTCCTGACTGACTAATCTCTATTGTCGTTCTCACCAGTTTGTTATATATCCTTTGTTTCCCTCTCGTCTCTCGCATTCCATGTCTCTCTAGCGCATACGCTTTAGTCGTTTACGCGTTTCTAATCACCTCGTATTACTTACAAGGAAACCCCCCCAACCCGAGCTCACCGATTTCAATAATCTTTTGATATGTTATAGTTCATCAAAAAATAAGACATACGTATTTTTTTTTATCGGCGGAAAAACACTTTGAGGGGGTGAAAACAACCCTCAAAGTTCACCCCCAAAAATAGATTTTCCAATGTATCTCAGCATCTAATTGATATTTTACGACCAAACAAATTTCATATCACTTCTCATGTGAAAAGCAAACTAGCACATGCAATTCCGACCACAAGGGATGCAACCCTTGTTTTTTTTATTTAAAATACTATCTATTTCATGGCTATTTTTATGAAAAAAATTAAAATAACCCGAAAAAAATTGGAAAAAATATTACCCTACATAAAATACAAAAATAAAGTTAATCTAGTCAAGCTTTTTTTCAAACTACCCCCTTAAAGTTGAAAAACCATCCCTAAAAAATTGTTTTCAATACATTACAGGTGGTGTTGATAATTTAGTGTAAAATTTGTTAAGTATCATTTATACTGTACAAAAACAACTATCTCGTGCAGTTTCGACCACAAGGGTTGCAACCCCTAATTTCTGTCATCGAAATTTTTACCTTCTTTGTACCTATTTTTGAAAAAAAGTTCATAATGAGCTTGAAAAAATTAGTAAAAATATTACCGTGGATAGAATAAGAATAAAAATGTACCTTTTATTTTTAAAACCACCCCTTATGTTGAAAAACCACCCCCAAAAAATTGTTTCCAATACATTACAGGTGGTGTTGATAATTTACTGTAAAATACGTTGCTCATCACTTATAATGTACAAACACATTTATCTCGTGCAGTTTCGACCACGAGGGTTGCAACCCCTAATTTATGTCATCGAAATTTTTACCTTCTCCATTCCTATTTTTGAAAAAAAGTTCATAATAAGCTTAAAAAATTGGAAAAATTATTATCGTGGATAGAATAAGAATAAAAAATTTACCTGTTCAAACTTATTTTCAAAACCACCCTCAATGTTGAAAAACCATCCTAAAAAAAGTTTCTGACATATCGTTGCAATCTCTTCTAAATCAAATAAGCTATGATTCCATAGCTATTTTGTTGCTCTCTTTTAAATTTTTTACGTTCTATCGTTTATTAATTCTATCAAAAAATAAATAACTTTTATTATATAAAAAAACAAGTCAAGAATAATATAATATTATAAGTATACCTAGAAGATAAGTATAGTTTCTCGGATGCGCAAAAATTTTGGTATATGAATGATAGTATTATCAGAATTTTATTTACGTCCTACTATCAGCGTCTCTGACGATTGTCTGTTATTTTCATGATTGATAAATATGAGTAAGTAATTCTTCATCAGTAGCCAACACAACTTTCTTGTTGTTGGACGTATTGTATCGACTATTGAACTAACAGCATAATAAATAGTAATAAGAATATAAGATTATAAGTACAAAAAATAATAAGATACTATTCCGTTAATTCGTATTTCGTAGTACCTGCTACGTAAGTATAACTATAAAATTATTTCTTATATGCAAATAATTTTACGGCTTTTTAATATTTGTTATTAAAAAAATTGAAATTACACTGATTATGAGGATTTATTAATTAATGATGTTTATAATTATTGTTTACTTATTGATTTGTTTATTATTATTGTTTATTAATTAATATGTTTACTTTTTAATTTATTAATTAATTTTTTTCATGAATGTTTTCTATAAGTTTGTTTATCATTATTGTTTATTTATTTGTTTTTATCCTAATTTGTTTATTTGTTATTCAGTTTATTTCTTATTCCCCAGCGATATCAGGAGAGACCTATACAGAGGAAAAATAAGGAAAAAAAGGGGACGGATGGATGGACGGACGCACGGAGAATTTCGCGCCTTCTGTTTAATATAATAGAAGATATATAAGATATATATATATATATTTTTTTTTTATTTCAGATTAAAAAATGAAAATTAACGCTCTGAACGTTTTAAATTTATTATTAGCTTACTTTCAAACTCTACAAATACCTGAAAGTGAGACAAATTATAAAGAGATTCAATTGTCGGAAAGAATTAAAAGCATTTTAATAGATTCCGTGAATGATTTCAATGAAGTAGATATGATCGTTGAAGATACATTAGATTTTCAAGAAGATTACAAAGATCATGCTGCAAAAATAGTAGAAGATGAAGTTCAACACCATTTTCCTGACGATTTCGAAGCACCCACCGACCATTGTACCAAAGACAATGAAGATGTCAGTTTTGAATATAAGCAAAGAGCCGTAGAATACTGGAGAAGTGGCAAAAAAAAAATTTAAGTGTTGAAAGTGTACGTCAAAAATTTAAGAAAGTTTCATCTGTGAGTCAGTTGAAACGTTGGGCTCATACAGTCAACAAAGGTGGTACTTATAGAGAAAAAATTGCAAGAATTTGTCAGTACACTTTTGATAATTTTAAAGCAGCAGTAGACGTTGGTTACATTATTCATGATCGTGACATACGTCGATGGGCATTGCAAGCTCAAAAGATTATAGGATCAGAAGATGTAGGATTCAAAGCTTCGGATAACTGGCTTTGTAAATTCAAGAAAGCTCATAGAATAGTATCCCGGAAAATAAATAAGTTTATAACCAAGAAAACACTAGAAAGTAATTCAGAACTAACGATTAAGGCAAATACTTTTATTGCTGATGTTAAAGCAGGCATAAGAATAATTGGAATTCATAATGTGTTTAATTCTGATCAGAGCGGATTCCAACTGGAAATGCACTCCGGAAGAACACTAGCGGTTGAAGGAGAAAAGCAGGTACAGTGTTTAGTACAGTCAGTTTCTTCAACAACCCACAGTTATACTATACAGCCACTCATATCAGCCACAGGAGAATTACTGTCACCACTCTTTTTAGTTTTGAAGGAATCTAGCGGTGAGTTTGGACCCATTGTTGAAACCACTTTATTTAGACCCGAAAATGTTTACGTAGAAGCATCTAAATCTGGAAAGTTGACTACAGGTATACATAATCCCATCTAGTTACAATTAATGTCATTATAAATGATTTTACAAATAAG